CTTTTCTTTGTCACAGGGGCATCAGCTTTGGAACCCGCTCAGAGATCTTCCTGCCCTTTTTCCCTAGTTTCCAGCCCTCCACGCATGCAGTGTGTCTGTGCTCTGGTGCGGGTGGCTGGGGCTGGGTGTTTAGCAGTCCTGGGCTCCCTCTCCCTCCCGCCGGGAGCTGGGGGGAGGTGTGCTTGGCTCCCGCTGCGCCGGGGCTTGTATCTTACCCCTTTCACCAAGCGCTGGGCTCTCGCACGAGTGGATGTAGTCTGGGTGTTGTCCTGTGTCTTCTGGTCTCTCTTTTAGGATTAGTTGTATTTGTTGTATTTTAAAAAATATGTATGTTTTTGGGAGGAGATTCCCACTGTCCTACTCACACCGCCATGTTGGCTCCACCTGTCCCTTAGTATTTTTTATAAATATTATAATGTAGCAATGGAGAATCTAATACACAGGTAGCCACATCCTTATGAATCATAATGGGAGTGAAAGTAGGGAAATAATAAAGATTAAAGTTGATCTTTTTTTTCTATGAAGAAAACTTGTGCATTACCTCCTGTGTTTCCACATGGCTAAATGCACCAAATATGAGTATCTGAAAACAGGCAAATGGTAATGATTCCTGAAACCACGATCTATAGTTCTGTGGACCCATTTGTTTACTATTAGGAAAACCAAAGACTTGGCAGGAGAGCACCCCATGTATCGGGAAGGCTTGGAGAATTGAACTTCTCCATTAGCTTGAATTAATTTTCATGAAAATTAGGGCAAAGTGGATCATAAAGTATCTTTGGCATCAATAGACTCTTGCTTGAACATTTGCCTGTTTTATTAATGATGCCAGCATCTGAGTAGATTTCTTTACCTCAGGGAATAAGAAATGAGTGGAAGGAAAATTGCAGTATGGATGGAAAAAATGTAAAAATATGGAAACATTTTCAATAGTGGTAGTCTCAAAGGTAAAAACACATATTACGGAATTTCATTTGGCTAAATGTCAGCGATATGCAATAGCTAGAATTTAGTAGTGCAAAACAATTCCAAGAAAAAAGCAATTCAGCAATAATGAGAGGGAAAGAATCGAGAGGAGAGATTTTATGATTCAGGAAAGGCTATATGTGTAGTTGCAAATCATATAACAGGAAAGACAGCTATAGCATAGAAGAAAAGAGCAAATGAGCAAGATTTGAATGAGAAAAAGAAACGACATAATGTATATGTAACAAAATAATTGTCAATCATAATTCTGCTAGAATAGAACCTTTTAATGACTAATCGGGATTGCAAAATATTCTACCCTAATTTAATCTTATTTGATTTCTTTTAAAATTAAGATCAACAGTCCTTGTGAAATATCCACCCCTGGAGCTACTGTTTGTTGGCAATCCTTCCTCTTCAGTTTAATTTTTAAAGATGATTTAGGGCCCTTGGATATTTAAAAAACACACATCTGAGCTAGTTCTTATACAATGCAAATATTGTCGATTCCTGCACTTTTGGGACTTTAGGTATTCTGAATCACTTTTGATGGCTGGGACCCTTAAATTCACTGGGTTCAAGTGATCTGCTCTGTTACTCACCACAGCACCATGCCTCAGTGGAAGTCCAAAGGCGTTTGACGTGGGCCCCAGTGAAAAGAAAATATGTCAGTCAGGAATTCTTCTCTTGCGTTTAAATGGATTTTTCTTTCTATCAGCTCTAGGTAGATATTCTAAGGGACCTGAAAGATCACTTTTTCCCATTAATCAGACATCTTATAAGCAAGGGACAGATAAAATCAGATTTCACTATTGAAGTTATAGTGCTGAAAAAGAAAATTTCCTCCAGTCATCCTCTTCTCAGATATATACACATGATTTAAAATACTTAGGACTACTTAAAATCCTGGGACAACTATGTTTTATTAACCACAGGCTGTACAAGTTTCCATTTATTTTAGATTATATTGCCTCTTTATTAGGCTTCCTAAGACAATTGGAGTATAATAGTTGTTGATAAGTATGTTACTTGTACATCATTAGTTCCTATGCCATATTTACTTAAGGAATGGCTTTTTTGAGGGATTTCTAAGATCTGGAAATAGAATTTGGGAACTTGTTGATCTACTGTGCTTACATTTATTACTACATGAGTACCTACTAAGTGGATTGCGAATGAGGAGACTTGAGACTGATGGGACTTGAAGTGTGTCATTTAATTTCTCTGAACACTGGGTTTCTCACCTATAAATTTCTGCTGTTAGACTAGAAGGTGACATGTAATTCCCTGTTCCCTAAGCAAAATGTATATTTAATTCATCATGGAGTTGAATTATTTTAAAGAGTGTAGGGCTGAGTTCTGGATCTTGAGAATAAGGGGATAAAATAGTAGTGTGTATTTTATAGCACTTTATATTTAATACAGAACTTTTGTATACATTATGTTATATGAATTCTCTTAGGTATGCAAAATCATATTTATTGCACAGTGAGTGGCCTGTCAGTTATCAGATGGCACACTCATATAATTTGCAAAGAATGGAATGAAAGGACCCTTTACAAAGGTGTGGGCAGGGTTTAGGGGGACTACAAGATAGGGTGTTACCTTGGGATTAGTCTCAGTGGGGATCTGCTCCTACTCTGAGGCCTGAAGTGGGGGAAGGTGAAGATCTGACAGAGGCTGTGTCCTTGGGTAAACGCAAATTTTGGTGACCCCATGGCAAGGAATCTAGGGGAATGAATACCCTGTTTCACTTTCCTCCTGTCCTCTGATCACCTGCTGGTGTCTTCTCTTGAGTAAGCTTAACTGGAAGGAGACTGAAAGGGGGTCCCCTGATGCACTCCAGTGGAGAGGGCCCCCAGAGGACAGAGCAGGGGGAGGGCGAGAGGTGTGGGGCAGGGTGGGGCAGGTGGAAAACAGCCGGCACACTTACTACTGCCATTTTACAGAATATCAAATCGAATTGGAGAGAGTTAAATGAAACTGAATTGCTAGTTATGAGAAGCACCGGGATTTAAACTCAGGTTTTTTGCTTCTTAGATGAATGCTTACAATATTTATAGTCTTCCTGTTTTCTTAGCATGATATTAAAATTCTATACCATGTTTTCCAAGGCTCTATATGATCTGGCTTTTGCTTGCCTTTCCAAATTCTTCTTAAGATACCACCTCCTATTCTGAGAATACTAGTTGCCTTTCTCTCCTTTAAATATGTAATATTACTTTCCTGTTTCTAGGCTTAGCCCCTATTGTGTATTGGCCCCCCTGCACTCCCCTCCCTCGCCATGCCTTCACACATGACTGATTCTCACTAGATGTCAGCTCAGATGTCACTCTTAATGAAGGCCTTTCCTGACCTCCCACCTAAAATGTACTCTTCCAATGACTTTTCATGTCCACTTCTTTATTTCCTTTATGGCATTGACTCAATCTGTATTTTTCCTCATTGATTGGTGGATGTGTTATTTGCCGCCTACTCCAAAATGTAACTTCTGTGGAGGCAGGGCACCTGTCTGTCTTGTTAAGGCAGTATTCCCAATGCTTGGTCTGCAATGAGTAAACAATCTTAATGAGGTCGTGAATAATTCATATGGCCAAGCATTACTCCAAGGATAGGAGAACAGAACAAAGGATACTAATGCTGGGCAGTATTTTGAGGCAAATGACACCCTTTCACCGTCCCTATCCCCCACAGCTTCACCAAGTTTACCAATCAATTGCATTTTGGTTTCTTGTCATTCAGAGATCATAAACATGAGTTTTGATTCTTTTGAGGTGGGGTGTATTTATAATAAAGATGGTCATAAAACTAGGTGGGTGTGAAAGCTGTAAGTCTGGGCTTCCATTTATAGTCAAACTAATTTCCTTTCCAAGATTTCAGGTTTCTTGGAATGTGGAAATAGAATAGGTAGAAGGGGAAAAGAGACATATTAGTTAGGGATTTGTAAGTTTGAGGATGCTGGTAACAGATTGCTTGGTAATTTATGTATCAGTTTATAACTACAGTAAAGCTGATTTGAACCTCAGGCATTTCTTCTGCATTCTAGGTGCCCATGCTCGATCAACAAAGTAGAAATTATGATTGCATGTCACAAGGTGGCTACTGGTTTTATTGCAACAGGGAACAGGCTCTCGGGGAATAAGAAAAATGTAGCCACTGGCATGACACGAGCACACCGCTGCCTAGTTTCATGGTCTGCTTGCTATCAGTTCTGCTTTCTAAGTACATTTTAATAACTGTAGCTGTAAGGTTGGAAAATTGCAAAGCAATGGGTCAACAAAGATAAAGAAAACAGACCCTTTTGCAGACTCAGTTTGTCATTTCTGACCAAACGCTTCCTTTATAATTTTTACTTCACCACAAATACAGCTTATAGTTCTTCAGGTCAACTTTACTACAGAAATTACTATAGGAAAATAACTTCCAATTGAGCTAAAACTCTAGTCCCACCCCCACATAATACTTTTTCTTGTCAAGACAACTGCATTTATGATATTATTTTCTATAATTTTTTAAAAGGAACCAACTCTTTTCCTTTTAATAACACAGCATTGGTCAGCTTTGTGTTCAGGATCCCATGAGGGTGACACAATTTTTGCTGGTACCTTTTATGAAAATTTCTAGACTCTCTTTTTATGAAATAATTTCATCATTGTCACTATTTCTCTATCATCTGTTTATCATCTCTTGTGATACTTCTGAGAGTTTTGAATCAACTGGAAGGTAGAGAAAGGAGAAGCTCAAAGGTAAGCCTTCTGGAATTGAGTTATGAACCCAAGCTCACTTGATTGGACTGCTTTTAGCATAAAACCTTTAGAACATGTAGATTAACAGTGTGTTTAGAGTTAATAAATTAATAAAGCTCTATTTTATCCTACTGAACTTTGAGCACTCTATCTGTGAAATAATATGTCAAATATACTGCAGAGAGGAGAGTATAGACTCTTATTATTTTATATATTTGATCTTATTTTCACAAATGGAAACTGACTTAGTGAAATTCGTGGACAGCGTGAGTTGAAATTCTGCCTCACCTTGTTCGCAGTAGATCCCAGTGGTTCCCAGAGGACAGTAACAGGTGTGTCCATGAGGCAGCGAGACACACGTTGCCCCCTTGCTGCAGTGGTGGGGAGGGTCATATTCAGGGTCACAGGTAGAGACAGTCTCTGTGCAGAAGGCTCCCTTCCACCCAGTGGGACAGTCACAGCTGGAGGTCGAAGAAGAAAGTTGCAATGATTTGAGCACTTGAGCAGAGATGGATATACACGGTTGCATCCTGATGTTTTGGCAATTTTGATGGGAATTCCAAGATAGAAAGTATTTTAGATATCAAAGCAAATTGTTATTGAAACTACCAAGTTCCAAACTGTCAAAGGGAAGAGCTAATAACTGGTTATGGGATTACTGGACTCCACAGGGAGGATTTAAAAAGGTTCAGCATATGGAAATTGGAAGAGATTTTTTTACAGGAATCATTTCTTTGGACAAAACAGCATGGTCAGTCTCTCCCCCGATCCCCACACCATCACTGGAGGGAAAGGCTGTGAACAGAGTTGTGTCCCCTTCAATCTGGAACCCCAACACTAAGGGCACATTGGGGAAAGGGTAAGCTTTAAATCTCTGCCAAGCCCAGAGAACCATCAGACACCAGTGTGAGTGAAGGAAGCCCATTCCAGGGTGTGGTGTGGGGTGCAGTCAGAGCAGCTAGCCTGGGGAAAGACAGCAGCAGACCACGTCCCCGCCTGAGCCCCTCCGTTCGTGGCGCAGCCCTGGCTGGGTGGAGGGCAACCGTGTTGAAGAGTGAAGTGCTGTTAGTATTATGAAGTAGACCCTTTGAACTAATGAAGTGTTTTGCGAATTAAAGTGACTATTAGTTAAAGCAGAATATTCAACAGACCTCCCCATATTTTAATCCAGAACCAAGAAAAGGACGACTTCTCCTAAGTGAGTTTAGAAAGAGAGTGAGAAATAACGGAAAACTTATAAATACATCTATGAGTCCCAGCTCACGCTTACTTGCTCTCCGTTCATCACAATGGTCTTTACCTAGCGGAAGACTGGACCTAGATGACATTAACAACACTCCTGGAGGTGTTGAAAAACATTTTCAACGTGAGCAAGTCAAGAAAAGGCAGGTAGAAAACAGAAGTATCTGTAATTCTGTTTTTTCTTTAGGCTGGAAGTATTTATCATTCTGAGGATTAAAGGCAGCCCGTATAGTCCCCTCTAGATGGATCAACATGTGCCACCCATTATATGCTACCTAGAGGAGGAGGTAAGGATAATGAACACTCTCCTACAAACATTATTAACAACTTTCATCATTTTATAAGAACAATAGGTAAGAGCTGCATAAAATTGAAATAAAAAAGAAAATCAAAATTACTTGTATCCTCTGACCATGGCGAGTCTGACCATTTTTTAGCACTTAGCATGTATTTTTCTACTATTTCCTTTAAGCACATTTCAACATTGAAAATGCTGAGATAATTGGATCTTCACAGGCAAAAGAAAGAAACTAGACCCCTATTTTATACCACTCACAAAAATTAACTCAAAATAGATTAATGACTTAAATGTGTAAGACCTGAAACCATAAATGTGCTAGAAGAAAACAGGGCTTTTAGTTTAGCCTATTTTAAAATTTCATAGAAATGTAATGATACTGTATATGTTCTTCAACTGCTGCCTTTCACTCAAGACTATGTTTCTGGGATTCACCCTTGTTGATGCATGCAGCCATTGCACTGAATGTCAGTGCTATGAAACTTGATAAGCAGAAGTTCCTATTTTTTGTGTAGTCAAAATTTTAAAATTCTTTTATGGTTTGCATTTTTTGTGACTTAAGAAATCTTTCCCTAGTCCAAGTTCAGAAAGATACTATTTACATTGTCTTCTAGAACTGTTACAGCTTTTTCCTCTTACATTTAATCCTTCACACATCTGAAATTATTTTTTGTTTCATATGGAGTAGAGATCCAGTTACAGTTTTCTCTATGGATAGCCAGTAGCCCTGACACTCTATTGAAAGGTTCCTCTTTCCAATGTCCATTTATGCATGGTCCTGTGCTTCGATCCCATTCCATTAGTCTCTTGGTCTAACCTTTTACTGGTATCACGGTCTTCATTTCTCCTGCCTTATACATGACAGGTGTCTAAGCCGTATCTAGGTACCTAAGATGGCAAGATCTTCTGTTTTTCTGTTCAGGAGTGTCGTAGCTATTCTTAGCCCTTTTCTCTTTCACATCTTTTCAACGACTCCCAAGTTCAAGACAGGCGCACTTCCTTGCTTTGTCCTTGTGTAAAACAAATTGGTTTTTCATTGATTCCTACCCTGAGGGTATAGCTTGTAGGGGTCCCAGGCCTGTGAGGAGTCCCCTGGTAGGTCCCCCATCTCAGGCAGTCCTTAGCCTTTAAGTTGGGCCCTTTTGCAGCCTTGAAAGGGTAAATTCACACCATCTCCTGGCTTTCGCAGCAACTCAGGGCAAAAGCCAATTTTAACTCTGTTTCTAGAGTCTTGCTTTCATTTCGTTTGGGCTCCCTAAATGTACTGTTTTCATTTCATGTAACACTGTTCTGAAATATACATTTTGTATTTTATTCAGATTTGAACATTTTCATTTGGGAAGATCATTTAGGATATATAATCCCCCACAGGTCCACAGACAGAACTCCCTATAAATAACCTTAAAAAAACAATAGTTAGAAATGTCTTCCTGTATCCATTACCTTCTTTTCCACAGTGTCATATTTAATGGTTGAATATTATTTCACTGAACTGATGAAAAATACTTAATTCTTGTAGTCACCTGTGAGATCTTATGTGTTTTTAATTTTTTTACTTTCTACAATTAACACCACACTAAAACTCTTGTAGCTAAATCTTCGTACACATCTATGATTGTTTCCTTAGGATAAACTGAGATATTATCATCATGACTTAGTCTAGGCTTTGGGTACATGTTCCAACCTGCCCTCCATAAAAACTGCACCTTGTATAAGGTTCTCCAAAATGGAGAAAAACAAGAAAAAGCTCATGAGAATGCTCCCGAAATAATAGGTGTGTTTATAATTGAAAATATGGGACTTTTTATAAACTTTTTATTGTTTATCAACCCAATAATTACATATTAAAATAAAAATGATTTAATGTCTGCCTATACATTTATCAAGAAAATGTTCATTTCAAATTTCTTTATTTTCCTTTACTTTTTGGCAGTCCAACAGAATTTATGCTACACCAAAATTTATTATTTTCACTGTCTTTTCATATTTACTACTTGCATAGCACTACCTTCAGTCATGTGGGATGGGCAGAAGATGTGTAAGGGGTGAGCAGCTCTGGCCTGGCTGAGGGGAGGTATGGGGTTAAACCTCTGGGCTTGCGTACACTGAGGAGCCCCGTGAGGGCACAGAGGATGCTCCCAGAATCCAGAAACCAGCATGGGGAAGAATTTGGGGATGAGAACATAATTAACATCACCACACATGTACACCAGTGCACTCTTAGACTTTGGGTCTAGGAGGAATTGAAAACAAAAATTCTCATCTATGTGGAACATATAGATAGAGGCATAGACACATACATAAAATGGTAAAAAATGAAAGTTTCCAAGATTGCCATTTCATTAAATACAGTGTTTAGAAGGGTTGTGATGAAAGAAAATATATATGCTTATTGTATCTAAGTTAATAGGTGTGCATAAAGTCTGAAAAGTTGTATAAGGTTTCCCAAAATGGAGAAAAACAAAATAGAATTAACCTGCTATAAAAATTACATAATGATTTTGATTATTGGTAGAATATCATAAAGAGTGTAAACATGTAGACACCTTTTATATAAAAACTAGGCTGTCTTACCAATTTCATAAAAGAAATAAATGTATAGGAAAACAAAGTTTATATAAAACTAAAACTAATCTTACTTTTTTATGATGATTGCACCATCTAGTGGCTTATTCTTATGAAAAACAAAACTAAGAAAATATCACTGCCTTATAGATATGACAATGGTAAAATATTTTTTATATTAAATATAGCTTAAATCTCTTTAAGCATAATATAATACAGATGTTATAAACTCATTTGAAAAAATCTTAAAATCAATTCTGATATGGTTCTTAGAGTTTTTAGGTCTAAAGCAGTTAGCTCTATGTTTATAAAGATTTAAAAAATTACTTTTAAACACCATATACTACTTTCTTACATTATATTTTAAGAAAGATCTTCATCAGAACGGTTTTGCTTTTTTTGTTCCTTCCCTGTCTTCTTTAGCACCCTGTGAAATGTAGGTAATAAAAAGTCTCAAATCTTTGTTATTCACCACTTTGGGTGATATTTTTCTAACCCTTGAATTAATTAATATTTCTTCCTTTAACCACATATGTGACTTGAAATACTTCAATTTTTAAGTGACATGTGTGTGGGGAAGAACATGAATGATGAGGCATATTTTAAGAATATTAACCTGGTATGAATATGATGACCCTCTGGTGTAACGGTAAGCTCTCTTAGAGATGAACGTTGAACCTTAGTGGGATCCAGAACAGGGGATGACAGACATTGGCAATGTATAGTTTGCTTTATGGCCATACGGACTCTGTTGCAACCATTCGACTCTGCCAAATGTAAGCAGCCCCAGAGAATCCACAAACGAATGGATGTGGCTGTACTGTATTCCAATAAAACTTTATTTACAGAAACAGGTGGTAGACCCAGAGACCATAGTTTGCTGAACTCTGCACTAGATCATTAACTCCATGGGAGCAGAAATCAGGTCTTGTTTTGCTCTCTACTGTGGTCTCAGGGACTGAAACAGTTCCTGGCATACTGTAATTTTTCTTTGAGCATCCAGTGAATAAATAAATGAGTGAATGAATGAGTCATGACTGGAATAAGGATGTGGACAGGCCTGAGCAGAGAAATGACTCTGAGGACGGCAGGTTGAAGATGGGGAGCATCTGTAAGGATGTTGATACAGAGCCTGAGAGATCATAACAGCAGCAAACATTCAATGAGGCCTCTCATGTGCCAGGCACTCTTCTAAGTACTTTAAATGTATGAGTCGTTTAATGCTCCCTACAGTCCTATTAGGACGGTACTATCAGCATCCTTACTTTGCAGAGGAGGAACTTGAGAACATGAAAGTCAAGCGAATGGCATGGCTACTAATAGGGGAGAGAGTCCACACTTTAACTGCCATTTTAC